CACCTCAAGACACCCAAAGAATGGTGAATCAATATAAAAAACCCAGTCTTTTAAACATTTTCCAGAGTCTTCCCACATCCAAGGCTTCAGAGGCTTTTAGTATTTGAAGTATTACTGGAAGTGTTCCATACAATTCCCTCTGCAGAGATCTAAAAATAGCTATGGACACAGTAGTAAGTTTTTGTCTATATTTGCAAGCCCCTTACTTCCCTCTCAGGGACCACTACTTCCCATTAATGCTGACGTTTTGTTTTCTTTTAAAATGAGTTATTAAAATATTAGAAATATTTCAACAGTGCAGTGAACATCAATAACAACACATCAATAACAACAATTAAATTGATACTCTAGTGATGGATCATTAATATATTCTATATGTTAAGAATAATTGCATTAAAACAGATGACTTCTGCAGCCTCCTTGGGTGGCCATGCTCTTTTCTCTGTCAAGAAGGGTGAGTATCTGTAAGCACAAGTCATAAGCTAGTCTGGCTGCGTGTGAATAACTTGCTTTAACTGCAAATAGGCTTTGGAGTTCAGAGTAAATAGCCCCATCAATCCTGAACAGATGAGAATGACTCATACCACAGGAGAAGTTCGAGAACTCTTGAAATATATACGTTACATGCTAGAAAGACTTGGTATTTTGAAGGGAAGCAGAAACAATCATTCAAATATCGATACTGCTTTGACAAAGAGTAGTTTGGATGGAGATTTAAAAAAAAAAATAAATCAAAAAACATTGTACATGTTCAAAAAACCTGATGTCAATTTTGCTTTAAGAATCGATGAAGCCAGATGACAGCCTTGGCAGATCTGCTCATTGTTAGCTTAAGCTCTGTAACAGTGCTAGCACACAATATATATCTGTTCTGATCATGACAAAAGTATTGTTTTCTTGCCTGACAAGCCCTGTTTGTCCCATCTTTACTCATGATGACATGAAGCATGCCAAGCCACAAGGAGTCAAATAAGTAGCTAACCTTGCTTCAGATTTTGTTTGTTCTGGACACATTAAACCAGAAGTGAATGGCTTCTCACATTCTCCCACTAGAGAGACCAGGAAGGAATAAAAACACGCCAGCAAAACGAAAATCATCTGACAAAAGCAATTCCTGTTGACCTTAGTCTCCATGATTTATGACACAAAAGGAAACATCATTTATGGGTGCAAAAAAGCTTGCAGATTATTATAGATGCACCTGAACTCCCAAGTATACCCAAATACTTGTTATGAGGCTCAAACTGAAGCAGCTTCCACCCTTTCAGCTAAATCATAATTGAAGTCCCAAGGTCCCTTCTCCAAGGAAGCCATTCAAAATAGAATTTGTCTCCACCTGCTGGCAAAGAAGAATTAACACCCAGTTGCTCAAACTACCACAAGCAACCTCAAAAGAACAAATGTTACAGGACATTGAGACACATGATAAATGTATTCCTTTCTAGCATACAGACAGAAAATGGGGTGGGATAATGAGGGCAAGGGAGAAGAGAGAAGAATCACATACTGATTACAAAGGAATTCCTATTCTAGTAGTTAAAAAAGGAGGACATAGACGTGACAATGTAGCCAAACATACAATGAAGCTTTTGTCCCTAAACTACTTGGCTTGCATACAAGGAACAGAGGAACTTGGGTCAGTGGGGGAAGAGCGAGAGGCTGATGTTTGTGAAAAGAAAGTGAAATTGGTTAGTCTGCTTTAAGACAGTGAAGAAAAAAAAGAAAAAAGCACCCTGCTATTGTAGAATCCACCCACTCACTTCTGAAAGGCTCAAAGACCCAGGCAGGGATTTACAGCCAGCAATTCTAGGCACTGAATATGAAGCAGAAAACACTCAAATGCCCAGAGGCAGCTTCTGTGGTCCCAGAGAAGAAGCTTTCAGACTGCATGAGGTTATGGTCAGAGCCATTTTCTTTCAACAAGTTTGCTGCTGCTGAGTCAGTCATTAAGCTTAGCATTACAGACCATAGGAAGACACCTGTACGCTGCAATTTTCAGCTCTAGTTAACCAACCAACATGTTTTACTCTATTTTTAAACAAAGTCACACAACTTCCTGGAGAAATCGAGAGTTCAAAAGCAGATCAATATAATCCTGTGGCTTAGAAGCCAAAATAATAATAAAAAAAAGAGCTGGTGTTCAGTTGACTATAAGACCAGGGTGAAGAAAATGCAAGTGCTGAGCAAGGTTGTTATTTCAAACATTGCCAAGAAGCATTCAGAAAGACCATAGCAACGTAAAGCTTCAAAACTTTGGTGATGATTTTACAACTACTATAAAGGTAAGACATTCAGTTCAAACCAAGCATATTCCATTTAATAGCTCACTTACACTAAGCAAGCAAAGGAGTGCTGATGCAGAGGTTTTCTTTAGCCTTGGTTAAAATCAGTTCAGAAAAGATTTATTTTCTCAGAGTCCACTATATCTGGCTTCTATTTATTTACATGAGTCTATATCCAGCAAGGGTTTAAACTAAATGAAGGTATGGGTTTATACACATCATATGAATTATAAATAAGGCATCTCCTTAAACCACCTGCTTTCTTTAGAAAGTCAGGCAGTTTTAAACTTTTTTTTTTTTAAAGGAGTTGTATTGCTGCTGTTCCCCATATACTCAGGGAATCAGACTTC